CAGCCCGTTACACGACGCGCATCTGTTCACTGGGTGCTCCTGAGGTCCTCCTTTGCAAAACCGAAGGGCCACGCGGAAACTTTTGATCGCAGCTTGAATTCTCTTTCCGTGGTCCCGGTGCAGTGGGCTGGTATGTAATAAGGGGAGTCTGTACAGGGTGCCACCGGCTGTTTCTGCCCACTGAGTGGGAAAGCACCTGAGCCAGGGTGGCGGGAGGAAGGTGAGTGGGGGAGAGGCAGGGCTCGGTGGGCGGCTGGGCTGCCGCCACCTGTAGCTCCCCAAAGAGGTGCTCAGACTTCCCACGCAGGGCACGACGTGGCAAGTAGCTTTCATGTACAAGTGTAAAATGAAAACAGGTATGCCAGAAAAGTCAGCAATAAAAGTAACAGCAGTCAAAAACTGGAGCAGATAAAAATGAAAACAGCACTTTAAAAGCAGCAGCCAATAAAACGGGAGACCTGGCTCCTTGCAGACAATGAGCGCTTGCCAGCCGTGTGGCTTACAGTCCTTGGGGTCCCCTGGCACAGCCCTCCCCAGCCTTGTCCCTTCCAGACCCGTCCGGCCCGCAGCACCCAGGGTTCCCAGTCAGTGGCCCTGCTGAATTCTGCGTGTTGCGGTCCAGATGTCTCTGAAGGCCACCAGGTTGGAGAGGGCTGCCCTAGTGAGTCCTGGGAGTTGTCGCCGGACGCTTCTGGGACACCAGGCTGGGCAGGGCTGCCTTGCACCACACGTCGTGTTGCCGCAATATGTGGCTGAGGCTTGGGGAAGAGGTCGGAGGAGGTTTCGCCAAGTTGCAGCTAATCCAGGCAGGGCCCCCACATTCAGGAATAGTGTACCCCAGATCCCGGAGCAAAGCTTCAGCTGCGGGGCTGGCGGATGGGACTGCTAGTGATGTCCTTGTGCCCTGATAGTGACCCTCGTGGAGGCGTCCAGCCGGCTGCCGTTCAGGACAAGCTGCATTAAGGCCCGCATGGCCCTTCCGCCTGGTCTTGGCTTTGTTTCTTGCTTCATAGCACGGGTGGGCACAGAGCCCGCCCTCGTTTCTGTGTAGGGGCTGGCAAGGAGCGTTCCAGCAGAGCCCCCCAGAGGGGCCACACTCTCTTCTGCACGTGCTCCCCATCCCTCCCTCTTCCTCTTCCTCTCCCCCTCCCCCACTTTCCTAGCCCCAGAGTTATTAACTAACCAAAGCCATCCGGCAAAGTCATACCCATCTGTAATCCCCTCCCTGAGCCCCTGTATTGACAGTTATCTAGAATCTGAAGGAATTCAAGACAAATGATTAAGAGGATAGAGTTAATAAAATTTGAAAAATTGAGACCTGTCACTCTGCTAAACTTTTTTCAATACCACCGACAGAAACATATTTCCCCAATGAGTGACCTTCCGCAGCTGCTCTGGTTCTGCACCGCTGCAGCGGGGCTGGGGCTGGGGCTGAGCCAGCCTGCTATTCATCAAGTATTACAAGTCGGAGCCTGCTAATATGAGCAAAGTTGGGAGCAGGAGGCCGACGCGCGGCCGCCCTGGCCAGCCCCGGGCGTTGCCCAGGTGTCGATTCCGGGCCAGAGACAGCCGTGGGAGGTGACAGATGGCCCCCCGTCGCGACGCGCAGAGGTTGGGGCCCTCTCAGCAGGCCCACAGTCGCCGGCCGAGCCCGTGGGGCGTGCGGAAGGGCTGGCTCCAGCGGGCCGGCCGCCCCTGCCCCGAGGTCAGGCCAGGGCACTTAGGGAAAGCGGTGGCCACTTCGGCAACCGGCCAGCCAGCCGGCCGCCTGACACCAAGTTATTTATTAAAGCATAATATTTTATTGTCGTCGGTACTGGAGGTGAAGATCGACCGGTTGTACGAGTCTGGTTCTATCAATTATTACAGCAATTAGTCAAGTCGTCAAAGCCATTAACAGGGGGATTAGACCAATATTGGTTAGCCATTATTAATAGATCTACAGCAGGAAATTTAGGCCTTCTAAGAAGAAGGCAGAGTTGGCCTCGAGGATGCCATGCTGTGGGGGCAGAGGGAACTTCCTCCTGCTCCGCGGAATCGGTGCACGCGGGTGTGCGGCAAACGAGCTGGGAAGTACTTGTGTTCCATGTGCGGCAAACGAGCTGGGAAGTACTTGTGTTCCATGTGCGGCAAGCGAGCTGGGAAGTAATTGTGTTCCATGTGCGGCAAACGAGCTGGGAAGTAATTGTGCTCCATGGGGGCCACCGCCTCTTCAAGAGACACTGAGTGGCCAGGGCAGGCAGTGTGGCATCTCACCTCTTCCGGTCATACCTGGATCAGCCGGGACAAGGGCTCGCCACGGAAAAGGCCTCTGTGGGATGTTCATGGGGCACATTTTTCAGTCTGGGAGCAAATACTGATTCCTTTCTGCGGGATTCTGGAAATGGCTAATCTCTCCCTGTCGCCTGCTCGCTTGCTCTCTCGAGTCACGGTAGTGCAGGAGCCAGTGCTGACAGCTCCGTGCATTTTACGCACAATGACAAGGTGGGCGGTGTTGTGACCGTTTGCGGGTTTAGCATATGCACAGCCAGCATCATAATTCTCCACTGGGAGTCATGTGACCCCCAGACCTCCTGTTGCTGCTTCCCCAGACCTTTGGGATCATGAGCATCCGGAGCCGCATTACACTCGGGAGGGGTGGCTCTGTCAAGCCCTCAGTGGTTTCTTCTGGTTCTCAGGGGAGAAAGGTGTTGGCTGGCCTTCCGTCTGGTCCATCCAATTTGATGCAAACTTTACGGAGCCAGACTGATCTTCCTTCACTGCAGCCACTGGAGATCCAGCCTGGGACTTCCTGTGTGCAGCTGGGGGACGCTGCCTGGATCTGCACCCCCTCCCCTAGTTTGTGGCCTTTGCGAGAGAGCCCTCCCCTGGCCCCACGCCTCGCCAGCATGAGCTGGACGCCCACCCTTCCGAAGGCACGGGGGGGGGCCTTATTTCTGTCTGAGCTTGCACAGCCTTGTGTCGTAAATAAGCCACAGGCATGAGAAGGGGCGCGCACGGACTGCACGGCCTCCCACAGCTGATTCTTGAGCAGTGTGCAGCGCAGCGCATCCCATCGTCCTGCTCAGAAGTAGCAAGCGGGGCGCTTTGTTTGCTCACCCGCTTCTCAGTGCGAGCAAGGAATGCGGTGGCTTCTCCTTTGCCCTCCTGGACGTATCGAAGGGAGCACGAGTGCCTTGGCCCTCCCGGACGGTCGTGGCCGCGGGTGCGGCGCAAGGAGGCGCTTCCATGCCGCGGTGCGGAGTGCGCCTGCACGTTGCAGCCGGGGGTCTGGTATGTGCGGATGCATCCCGGCGCCTCTGCTGCCGTTTTCCAAACCAGATCATACGTCCTTCACCATCAGTGTCAGTTATAAACAGCTTAATGTGCCCTAGAGGGCGAACAGAAATTCAGTTCAATTCCTTGCCAGGAGGCTCACAAGCTTGAAAAGAAAAAGAAAAGAATTGACAAAAGGGGAGGGGCTTGTACGGAAACGGGAAACTTTGAACAGGCCGGGCAGCGGTGCAGGAAGAGAAAGGAGTCAATACGATCATTAACCTGGAATAGGAAAAAGAAAAAGCCAGACAGATGTAGAGGGGAAACCAAAGGAAAGGTGCGTATTGATTACTTTTGTAGAAGTGAGACAAAGAGCATATTTAAAGCAAGGGTGGGGAGCCACCAGCCTGTGGGCCTCAAACTTGGGGGTTCGCCATGCAGCCGAGCAACCCTGGGGGAAAGCCTTTACCCCCCCCCCCCCATCACAGCGGCTCAGAGGCCAGTGCCTTTCCCTGATCAGAGCTTTTGCCGGCTGCAGAGGGAGTCCGTCCTGCGTCCTCCTGAGCCCTTGCCCCGTGCAGGCTTTGGTTGCTTGCTCACTCGCTCATTATTTTTCTGTCCCACCTTCTTCCCTCCCTTCCTTCCGAGGAACTCAGGGCAGCTTACATCATTCTCCTCCTCCTTTCAGTCTTACCTTTACAGCAACAGCCCTGCAAGGTAGGCTAGGCCGGGAGTCCGTGCCCAGCCCAGAGGCACGCAGTGAGCTCCACGGCTGAGCGGGGAGCAGGACCCAGATCTCGCGCATCCCCGTCCCGCACTCCGAACCACTGCCCCACGCTCGCTCGCCTGCTCGCCTCCTAGGACCAGTGCAGAAGCTCGCTTCCCTGTGAGCAGATGTGATGCTCATGCTTGGTTCTGAGTGGAACTAAAAAGGCAGGAAGCCTTTTAGAAGTGCTGCCGCTCAACACTTTCCTGTGTGGTCCTTTCTTTTCTGTGTTTATGAGTACATACAAATCAGCAGACGTGTGTGTGTGTGTGTGTGTGTGTGTGTGTGTGTACTCTGGAGTCATCATGGCAAAGCTTGGTGTTTGGGTACTTTTTGGAGGTGTTGCTAGGCATTCCCTCCCCCATTTGCTTTTGAGTAAACTTGCTTTCTATTAGGAAGTTTTGCCTGCGGACATCCCCTCCCCCCACGCTTCTCTGTAATGAAAGGATGGACGAATCCCCGGGCGACAAAGATTTTACTCCTGATCTAAAGGAAAAGCAGTCCACCTGTGAGGAGCTCCAGGGGAAACCTGGGGTGTAGAAGAGCGAGGGAGAAGGCTGGATGGCAGGTTTGGGTGAACAAAGGGGCCGAGGAAGCGAGGTGATGTGGGGCAAGATCCGTGCAACACACACACACACCCTTTTCCTGTCCTCATGCTACATCATGTGGGCTATTGGAGGCGTCTGGAGCCACCAGCAGGCTGCAGGAACATGCTCGGCGCGCTCAGCCCACGGGTTGCTCGGTGCCTCTTGCTCTCATTCGGCTCCGGGCCTTCCAGCAGCTTTTTCTCGCCATGGCCCATTGTTCTGCTGACATTTCCCTTTTGTTGTGTCCTCTGACAGCCATGCGTGCCCCCTCTGGTGGCATTGTCTCTTCTGGTCGGAGCCCCGCATGGAGCAAAGGTTAAGGAGTAGCCCAGATAGCTCCGAGGCCTTACCATGCCTGTCCCACAGGTTGAGTTCCGTTTCTTCTTTTTCAGGTGCCAACCCCCTGCAAAAAAATGAAATGGGGCACACGCCCATGGACTACGCCCGGGAGGGAGAAGTCATGAAGCTCCTGAAAGCAGCTGCAGCAAAGGTGAGGGCGGAAAGATCCAGCTTCTGCGAGTTTCCCTCTCTTCAGTCCTAGAGCTGGACTCCGCAGAGGCCAGAGGAGTAGTCCAGGCCCATGTCCTCAGTGAATATGTTGCAAACTGCCAGTGCCCCGCAGGTCACCTGAGCGTATTTGGAGAATGGCTTCTGTTGGCCTTTGCTGCGTAAACAAATCCCACCAGGAGGCCCTTCAGGTTGCCCTCAGGGTATGCCCAAGAGCTCTTCTGGCATGTGGAGAGGCAGGCTTGGTTTTCCTAGCAACGTTTGCTGCCCGGAGACAACAGCACAGGGAAATGTGAACCCAGCTGCATTTGGAAACCATCCAGGTTTCACTTCAGATGTGTATGGGACCCTTCCGTGCGGTTCAGGCACCCCAGGGGTCAAGTGTTGGGGCCAGCCTGCTGCTCTGGTCATAGGTGTGCCCATGGCCACGTCTGTTGTTATTTACTTCATTTTTCTGCCACCCCGTGGCCAACGTTCTCTGGGTGTCCTGGCCGGCTGCTCTGGTGGAATGTGTGCGCTGAGCCTGCGTGGAGCCAGTGTGCCTGCTCTTGGCCGGTCGGCGTACGATCGCGTGTTGCGGGCGAAGGAGGGAACGAGGAGGGCGTTCACGCCACAGCGCAAAGCAGGTGTCGGTGGCTGCAAGAGGGCCGGGAGGCATCTGGCCCTGCAGTCCCCACCCAGCAGGCCACAGAGCGTGTGGGGGGGGAGTCCAGATACTTTAAACTCCAGTGGCTGTTCGTGGAGCGTGGGGGTGGCAGCCGCGCGTTGCGCATCCCAGCATAAAGGACCCGCAGCCATCGCCGTGCATCTTGGGCAGATTGCAGAACGCCTGGCCTTCTGTGGTCTTCTGGAGACGGGACCACTCAGCAATGGCCCTTCCCTTCCCTGCCCTTTCCTGCCAGCTGTTACCCTTTCCTGCAAAATTCTGAAGCTGAAGCTAGAGAGAGCACCCATGCCTGCATCTTTGCAGACGTGCTGCTGGGCTGCCCGGGCCATGGCTCCTCTGCCGTGCTTGGCGCCACTCGGGGCGCATGGTTCAGGAGCCTCCCCTTTCCAGGAAAGCGGCGATCCTCTGTGGGAAGCCTGCTGAGCATGTGGCAGCCCTCAGCCACTGAGGGATAGAGACTGTTTAGAATGAGTTGTTGCCTCCGTTTCAGGTTTTTATAAAGGAAATGTCAGGAGTGGCACTTCTAAATCTCTACGAGGAAAGGGGAGTGAGGATGTCTTGGTAAGTCTAATGGGTCTCGGGAGTCCTCCTCCATCAGGCAGGGCTACCCTTTTCCTCACAAATGAGAAGCCACTTCAGCTTTCCTGGACAAGCCCTTTGGAGAATGCGGAGAGGAGAGGAGAGATGCGCAGATTGGCGCATAGAGAGGTGTCGCTGAAGGGAACGGCACCCTGTGTGTGCATAAAACTTCTCACGGGGTGCCGCAGCGTGCTGCGCCGCTCAGTGATGAATATACCGCTGAAGGGGACACGGTGGCAGTGGCAGAAAGGTGGCCAATCCTGCTCCCCACCTCGCCCAGAGACTCTTTTAGAATTTATTGCCCATTTTAATCACTGCTGGAGAATGAATTGGTGGGGCTATTAGCAGAGTAGACATAGCCCATCAGTTTTATTTACATATGCTGGTGACAGAACAACAAGGGCTGTTCATAGATGGGTTTGATTTATTTCAAGAAAGGGTCTCCTGCTCGCTCTCGCTCTCATGATCAGCTGTGTTAACTACAAAAAGTACTGGCTTTAACCGTGAGAGGTACGGTTCTTGAGCACAGAAGACCTGTGAGATGCCGGCACCTTTCCCCTCCCCTCCCCTCCCCCCCCCTCCCCTCCCCTGGGGTCCTTCGCCCTTGCCACCAGCCGGAAGCCTCTGGCCAGCTTGCGGCCTGGCCCAGGAGGGCACGGGAATGCGATGGACAGGTGGAACGCCTTTTCAGCACCTGTGTCAGTCTGCAGTCCACTCATGGCCCCCACAGCACAGCTTTCCCTGGAGCGGAGCTGCTGCCAGGGTAGCAAGGCCTTTTATGCCACCCCGAGACCGAGTCTGGGCAGCTGCAGAAAAGGCAAGACGGTCTCAGGCAGGCTCTCCTTGTCGTGAGGCTTTTTGCGGAGGCCCTGTTGGCGTCTCTTCTGACTTGAGTCCGGGAGCTGCATCCCTTTCCTCCAACAGGAAAAGAATTCTTCTGGTCAGGAGGGAAAGCCCTTAAGGGGAGCAGAGCACAGCCGCAAGTGGCTCTTCCCTCAGTCTTTTGCAGGGTGCAGTGAGGCTTGTTACTGAATCAGGGTGTCTCGCAGGGTGTCAGAGGGTGGTCCGAGCGCCGCAGAATATTTCCGTAGCTCAGGCCTTCCCAGTGCCTCCCTTAACCTTCTTGCCTGTGCATGGCTCCGAGGACGCGTGTAGCCGCAGTGCCTTGGGAGCATGGGAAGCTTATCCTGAGCCAAACCCTCCGTCCTCCCTGGCCCGCCTCCTGTCCCAGGTGCTCTGCCTGAGCTGTGCCCTCTGCCTGGCCGCTCACGCTGGAGCCTGCAGAGTGCCCACGCTCTCACCAGCAGGACAACTGGACACTTGCCGCAGCCTGGCTTGACCGTCTGCATGTTGGTCGGAATTGCAGGTGTGCTTGTGAATGTTCCCTCCCGGTGGAAATAGCCTGCTGGTCGGTGGACGCAACCGTCGCCAAGAACCTTCGGCGGGCGCCTTGAGGACCGAAATGGCTATTGAGGCGGAAGCCTCCCCAGCCTGGGGCCAGCAGCTGGCAGCACCCGCAGCACGTTCTTACCCTGCCGTCCTTCCCCTTGCAAGGAACCCAGGGTGGGTTAGCAGGGCCGCCTCCTCTCCACACTCTCTCCACGGTGAGAGAGGCTGCGAGGCTGGCCCAGGCACCCAGCGAGTTTCCTGGCCAGCTGGGAGCAGGTGCCTCTCCGGTGCTCTGGCCCTGCACACAGAGGCTTTCGTGCTGCATCTTTGGACCTGACGGTTTTCATGCAAAGCCTGGTTAGACCAAGGACGCTTTGAATCAGGACCTTCTGGGAGGGATCCCTTTGTCCGATCGCTTACGATGTTATCACCTGAATGGCAGATGCTCCTCTAAGGAACAGTCTTCAGCGCTAGTGGCAAAGGCTGCAGAAATTTCTCTGAAATTTTATCTCTTTTCAACAAGGTTAGAGGAGCCTGTGTTCTCTGCATCCCAGATTCTTTGCAAAAGGCAGTGGTGCTCCCCCCGCCCCCCCCACAAATGTTCCCGTAAACGGAGCTGTGACTGGGAGGGTTGCCAGGTCACTGGTGAGCAATAAACAGCATAGAGCACAGTTACCTGGCCGAAGAAGGTGATCGCTCTGGCTATCTCAAGGTGAGGCCTCCCGGCAGAACTGGCAAAGCATCATTCTCCAACTCTCCAGTAGAGCTGGCGTCTTGGTCAGAGAGCCCGGCCCCAGCCTTTGCACCAAACCCCCTCGTCCCTCTAATTCAGGCCTGTCTGCGCGCATTTAGAAGTGGCACCCCAGGGTGCCAGACCAGGAGTTCTTCTGGCCCCAGCCAGAGGTGCTGCAGACGGCACCTGGGACCCTTCGCATGTAAAGATGAGTGCCCTGCTCTTGCACGGTGCCCCCCCCAGACCATCTGTGCCCTTCATAGAGCAGAAATGGCGACAGCTCCTTCCTTCTGTCCGTCCGTCCGTCCGTCCTGTCATTTGGAGAAGTACCAGCCCATTTCTGTGGTGCTGTTTGTGGCGTGGGAAGGGGCAGATCCCTTCCAGGTGTGCCTGGGTGCTGGTGATGCACTGCAGCCGCTTCAGCTCAGTTTTTAGGGTGGTGAGCAGGAGTGGCAAGTAGGTGTGCTTTGTGCCCCCCCTTTTGCGCCCCCTCTTGGCCGGTTTGCAGGACCGGTGCAATCAGTCACGCAGTCGTCCCTGGGTGCCGGGTCGCGCCTGCTTGAGGGCTCGCTGAAGAGCCAGAGCAGCATGGAGCCTTGGGGCCTGCCCATTCCAGCATGTTCCAGCTCGGGATGTGATGCTCAGCAAAAAGCCACTGTTTTTTCTTTGCAGAATACTTTCCCTTCCGGGCGCCCCTGGAAAATTGTTGTGGGTGGTGTCCCCTTAGTCCCCCGGCACACGCCCTGCAGAGTCACCCAAGGTGCCCTCGGGTCACCACACTGCTTAAGGCTTCTCTGACGCCGCAGGGGGAGATGCTGCTTCCCTTTGGGGTTCGTTGTCATTGCTCTCCGGAAAAGAACCGCTCATCCCTCCGTTCTGATGAGTCTGAGTGCCCCGCTGGCACCCCTGAGCACCTGCTGGGTGGCTTCCTTGGACTGGAGGAGGGCGAGCCATCTGCACCCAGAGGGGGGCAGAATGAAGTAGTCGATGTCGGGAAGGTGGGGGCACCAGTGCCTGATGCACCGCACTCTCCCCGAAGCGTGGGCTCAGGGCTGGGTGTACCCCCAGATCCAGGAGGGCACTTTCACACCAGGTGTCCTGACTGTGCCTCTTCCCGGAGAATAGGAAGTGGGGTCGCCACTTTTCCTGCCTCGCTTTCCTTTCCTCCTGGAATGCATTCGATGTGAAGCTTCCTTGGAAGAGGCTGGCAGCTTCCGTTAGTGCAAAATGTGGTGTCTTGATGGGCTGATTTGCGCAAGCTGCCGATTTGCTCCGGGGCTCACAGGTGCTGGGGATGGCCTTCATGCGCGATGGGCTCACCGAGCGCATGAGCTGCCTCCATTTGCTGGGGTCACTGGGAGGCTTCCTCCAAGGGTCTGCTGCCTGCAACTGGTTTTCTCCATGAGGTCTCTCCAAAGAAGTCGCTTTGTATGCAGCACCCAGGTGAGGGTTGTCTTCCCTCGAGCAGCCTCTCAGCCTCGGTGGACAGCAGCAAGAAGTAAGCCTTTAATTTTTTTGGGGGGGGGGGACCCAGCTTAGCTGCTCTTTTCTAGGCTGAGGGGAGCTGGGAGGGAGGGTTGGGCCTGCGATTCAGGGTTTTTGGAACTCTGGGTCCCGCTGCCGAGTAAGTGTGCGCAGGATTCCGTCGTGCCACAGGTGTGCTGGTTGCTGGCATGCTTGGTTGCACATCTTGCAAGGGTTCTCGTGTTGGCTTCAGTGGCTGAGTTCTTGCTGTTCCAGAGAAATTCTTCCTGCTTCCTAAAAATTCAGTGTTTGCTTATTTCGGGCGCGTCAGAAGAGTCAGGGGCGACAAGGGCCCTTTTCTCACTGAGGCAGACCCACTCTTGAGCTTTTCAGCAGCTCCCTCCTCCTTTCCGTCAGTATTATCCGATAATATATATCACGACTGAGCTGTTTTATCTATTTCTCTCTTTGCAAAATGTAAAAAAGAAAGGCTGGAGAAGAAAGAATTGGCCCATATATTTAGAAAGACGTGGATGGGGCTAGAGTATTTGAGGCCGGTGATACACGCTGTGCCTGGGGCGGGGGGACCGTCAGCGCTCAGCAGTCAGTCCCGCGAGTGGCACTCCGTGGGGACTGGCGAGGAGGCTCTCGCTCCACACCGAAACATCGGGGCTGATGTGGGGCTGCCGTCACGCCAGAGAAGGGCCACTGCAGCCGGAACGGGATAGGGCGCTACTGCTTCTTTAAACGTTTGCTGCCATGACACGAAAATGCCCGCAGAACCTCGAACGGGTGTCGCTGTTGGTTTCACACTGGAGAAGCCTGGCGTGCTTCCGCCGTTTTCACGCCCAGTGCTGGCGTGGGTTACACCGCTGAAGAGGAGGACTGGCCATGCTGGACAAGACCATTGGTCAGCCCACCTTGTCTGGAATTCTGTCTCTGCTGGTGGCCAGCCAGAGGCTGCGGGAGAGCATGCACGGGGGCCCTCCCGGCGACTTCTCCTCACCCTCTGCCTTTCAAGCTGCCATCTCCTTGGCCAGCCAAAGGTTTTGGAGCACAAAGTCACGCTGCCCGGCAGTGGAATATCCGCCATGGAAGGTCCGCCTCCTTTTCCCAGCAGAGAAAGGCCTGGCTGCAAGCATTACACAGGAAGCACGCTTTGCTCATGTTCAGAGGGGCTCTTTGCTCCGCCCCGGTCGCAGGGGCGAGCCCCCCGCGTTGAAAAGGGGGTCTGAGACTGAGCCTTGCGGAGCCCTAGCTCAGATTAAGCCGAGTGTTCTGGATTGCTCACAGAGCCGAGCCCAACTAGGATGCCGGGAAGCTTGCCCAGCGCCTCCATCTCTGACCATTTGTGTCGGCACACCTTGTTTCCTGTGCAAGGCCGGGGGGGGGGCTGTCGCCGAGTTGCACGGTGCAGGGGGCCGCGCTGCGGAGAAATGGCTGGGGGGAGAATCCGCTTCTCACCCCGAACCCGCTTGCCCCAGGGGTCCCCGGCAGGGAGCGATCTTCCCCCCACCGTGTTGCAGAGGTGCAGCCTCCACGTTCCCATGCAGGTCTATCGCAAAATCGCTCCACTTACTTGCATGGGGTGGAACATGGCAGCAGGAAGCGACAAGAGCCTGGGGGACTGCTCTCACCGCCTCGCGGGTGCGGCGGCCGAGATCTCCAAGCTGGTGCTCTGCGGGCAGTCATTTGGCCTGCACCGTCGGCCCTCACGACTGCCTTCTCGTGCTGGATCCCACAGGTCCACTGCATGTTGTGTGAAGAGGCACGCTCTGAAGCCTCCGCTGGGCATTTTCCCGGGTGCAACTAGAAGCCACCTCTTACCCAAAACGTTCCAAGCGAACGTTTCCGTTGATACATTTGACACTTAAGCACACTTTTGCAGTAGACTAATAACTTGCAATAAAAAAGAGTTCAGTGTAAGAAAAGCGAAATAGCAAACGCTTTATTAAGAAGGAAGAAAAAGTCATTGATGGAAGTAGCAAGAGTCTGTGAAACTAACAAAAATGCCATAAAACAGCAGAGTCATCCTGACGTTTAGAAATGCCTCTTTCCCATTCCCACTACAGCCGGGCAGAGAGTGTGGGGAATATTTTTCTGGCATTCCGCAGTCTTCCCAGAGGGACCTCTTCCGTGGTGCCCTCACTGAGAAGGCTCTGTCGCTTGCACTCACCTAACTGGTTCTAAGGAAGAATTGGGAAAGATGGACGAATCGCCCATTCCTGTTGCATGTCATTAACATGCAACAGGACCTGGGAGCCACACTTCCGGTAGATCCGGGTTCTTGCGGAAGTAGCTTTTCTGCTCAGTTCAGAGGCCACTTGCAGGAACAACTTGACAGCCGTGCTCTGAAGTGATTTCCGAGAGGAAAGTACCCAAGGACTGGCTTACGGAAGCTTAGCGTAGTTTGATGGATTTTCACCGTCTCACCTCCTGCCTGAATCAGTCAACTTATTCTCCAGTTACTTGCTTATCAGAGCTTTTCATGCAACCCTCCAAGGAAAAAGGTCCATGCTGTTTATTCTGGCACTGAAATGCCCAAACTTTCCAGCCCTTTAAGTAAAGACGGATGCCATTTCCAGAATATGGTATTACCTGGTCATCAGATTGTTTTGGTCCTTTGTATTTTCAGATCTTCAGATAGGGGCTGCTGCAGCATTCAGTGTGATTGCTATTGCTATTGCTATTTGTTTTTCGGCGCCAGGCTAAGACCTTTTTATTTCAACAATATTTTAATAACTTTTAACTTCAGCTGATAGGTTTTAATCTGCAGCCAGGGTGGATCTGGATTTTATTTGAATTATGTTTTATTTTAAGGCTATGCGATGGGACGGCATACAAATGCTCTAAATCAATCAATCAATCAATAACATTGCTTTACAAATTAAGCTAAAACTATGCTAGTTTGGAATGTGGCAGAGAAACTGAGGTGCGCCCCTACTGGTGCCCCTTTCTCATGCACCCCCCTAGCGGAGCAGTCGCTGCCTTGAGTCACACCTGCTCTGGGCTGGTCTGCAGAAGCCCTTGTGCCCTTCAGAGCCACCTCGCTCACGCCTCAGATGGTTCAGAGCCCTCGTCTGGGGCTGGCCAGACTGTGACTCGAGCGGCGCGTTCGGCTCTCTGGCGGTCCAGTCGCCGCCGTGCTTCTGAGGCTCTCAGCATCCTCCTCCTCAGCATCCGGCAGCCAGAGGCCGGCTGGTTGGGCAGCCCCTCTCCTCCATCATGGGTGCCTGTGGGGCAAAGAGGCAGCCTCTGGCATGCAGGGGGGAGAGGAGGCGGGGGCTGCGGAAGGCGTGTGGGAGGGGAGAAGGCCCCGCCAGCCCCCAAGAAGGGCGGGCCGCACAGCAAGGTGAAAGCACCGCTGGCTGCCAAAGGAGGCTGAACAGAGCGGGCAAGACAGAAAGAGCAGGCGCAGCCGAACGGGAGCATGTGGAGGCCCAGGGTACGCGGAAAGCGGGGCGGGGGCTCCTGAGGCCTAGAGGGCATCGGCGTCACCCGCCTTGGGCCACCTGGCCATATATTAGTCCCGTACACCGGGCCCTGCCCCTCCCGTTTTCTACCCGTGTTGTGCAGGCCTCACCTAGGAAGGGGTGGGGGCTCTTCTGCCCCCCCCCCCATTATGCTTTTGCCTAACCCAGAGCATTAGAACAGGGTGGGATAGTTACCTGTTACCTGTGATTCTGTGGTGTATGCGTGCATCTTCCCGGTCTGCTAACTGAGTTGGCTGTTGAACAGAAAAGGGGGTCCAAACGCCAGCCAGTGCGGGGTGTTGGCTGGAGTGCTGGACTGGCCGCGTGGAGATCCGGGCTGTGCTGCCCACTGGCCACGAAGCTCCGTGTGCGGCTCAGGCAGTCGCTCATCCCAGCCTGACCCTACCTTACAGGTCTGCTGTTGGGAGAATAAACGGAGCTCCGGGAGGCAGCCTGCGTTCCCCGCAAGAGGAAAGAAGGGCGGAATGTCCTCGTACAACGTAGCAGAGATCACAATAGCAATAATAGTCGTCATTTGCTTTTCGGCGCCAGGCCAAGACCTTTTTATTTAAACATCATTTTAATTGTTAATATTATTTATTGATTTTATATCTTTGGCCAGGACATCTCCAATTATATTATTTTATATAGTTGTGTATTTATTTATTGTTGTGAGCCGCCCCGCGGCTTCGGCGAATGGGGCAGCTTAGAAGCTTGCTAAATAAATAAATAAGTTGCTGCAGCGTTTGCCTCCTGAAAAAGGCAAAAATAACCACAGTAAATAAAACCCCGCCAAGCACAGAGCAGGTGATAAAAAGAACTGCTTGCTTTGTGGACTGACTTGCATTATGAATGTCTGGGTATCGAGACTGGTGTCACTGTTGACGGGTACTTTTTTCCTTCTCTGCAGTTCCAGGAAGAGCAGCGCAAGAGAGAAATTGAGGAACGGCGGAGGTTCCCGCTGGAGCAAAGGCTCCGAGAACATATCATTGGCCAGGAGAGCGCCATAGCAGCTGTTGGAGCTGGTAAGGGTATTCGCCTCCTGATTTACAGACCTTCCTGGAAGCCAAAGGTGGGATGTGTGCATGCATGCAGGTGGCATCTGTTTATAATTCCCAGCATCATTTTTTGTGCCACATCTTAGGACCAAGTCCTCACAAGGTGGCTCACCTAAGTTTCAAATCCATGTCAGCCAGCTGTGTGATAGCATCAGGTTAATTAAAAAGTTAAAACACAGGCTAGTTAAAACTAAGTCCTCCAGAAGGAAAGCAAACGAATGAAACTCAGGAAAAGAAGCAAGGCAAAAAGTGAGTTTTTATGGCTCTCCCGAGGACACATGGGCCTGAAGCCAGGTGCGTCCTGAGGGGGGGACATGCAGAGAACTGCCCTGCCAGGCACTGACTCTTGCGTACCAGCAGAACCGCCGCAATGGCCTGGGAAGGTCAAATGTGGCCTTTGAATGCCGGAGTTGTGGTTTGCAGCCCACATTCCACAGCAAACTGCCAGCTGCTTTTAATGCTGCTGCCACCAAAGTCTGGTGGCATGTGGCTGCAGGAGGAGCAGAACCCCCAGGTCACTGAAATTGGCCCCTGGCGCCCCGGAGTTGCACTGCTCAGCACTAGGAAGCTCTTCCGGCATTCCTCCCCGTGCCTTGCCTGCGCGGCCAGTCCTTCCAGCTGGTACTCAAATTCCTTCCAGTCTCTCAGCAGCCTTTTCAAACTCGGATCATTTTCCAAGAGCGATGTTGGCAGTGCTGAGGAGGGGTGTTGCTGCCGCTCCTGCCGTCTTGGGAAAGGCTCCTCTTTGTCAAACTACGGAGACAATACCGGTCGTTCTTGCTTTCCATTCTGGATTGTTTATACACGCAGAGACACAGGCATCCCGCAACCCTCGATCGAGCTCTGGGACCGCTTTGTGTAAAGTGTTTCGCCCTGTGCTGATGAGACTGGGAGAGGCAATAAGGGTGTGGGGGAGAGACAGACAGAGAGGATGAGCCACCGTATTTCTGCAGTGCCTTCACCATGGAGGTCCCAGGCCCCTTGACTTGTTAAGGTTCTGTGTGCAAGGCCCTGTCAGTTTCGCATCACTGTGTAGCCTGGAGAACAGATTCCAGAGTAATGTTTTTCTACTAAGAAAGGAATATGTCATGTAGCCCAGAGTTCACCTGGATTTTGTGGGCCGCATCCACACACCTGCAGCTAGGTACTGGTCTTCCACTCACGAGGTGTCTCTTAACGATACACCCGGATGTAGGTTTTGCAACGTTTCTTCCCATTTGTTTTCCATCATTGGGAATTAGATTGGGAATCACCCAGAGGTATATGGCAGGGTCATGCATAAAGGAGAAATAGAAATGCAGAGTTGGAAGGGTGCATTTAGGCCACTGAGTCCAGCCTTTGTCCACCACCCCCACCCCAGTATCGAATGGCCCCGGGAGTGTGCTCTACGCCCGCCCACCTGAGGCCTAGTTGCTCCTCACTCAGGATCCGGTGGAAGACTCTCCTGCCTGAGTAACCAGTGATAGGTCCTGGAGCCTGGCGCAGAAGTCGGGTCCTGTGCTGAGACAGAGAGAGCGATGAAACCTGGGCCCGAGCAGGGGGCACACATCACGGAGCAGCCTCGCTCCCCAGCAGCACCTCTTGGCTGCTGGATGTTCAAGGCTGTGAGGGGTGAGGGGCGGGTGGGTGGAAGGGGCTGCAAGCCGCGGGAGCTGCAGCCTCCGTGTGCCACGCTGAGCAGTCCCCAGAAATCAGCTCAAATGGCGATCATTCCTCTGATAGAGTCAGAGTGTTCACACAACCCCCTGGCCCGCTCCCTTGCACACTTAACTCTTCACACAAGTGCCCCACTCTTCTGGGTGGTGGAAGGAACTTGTGTAAGCCAGATCAGCCGTTCTGCTGCGGGGAAGGGCTCGAGGAGCAGGGATCCTGATGTGCAGGTACCCGTGTAGGTGACTCGGAGCGCGGGGTGCGATGCCGCAGTGTGCCGACTCTCGGCCCCGGGCTGCAAGGAGGTGAGGCAAGGCGCTTTCTTGGTGTTGGAAGAATAGTGGTTCCTATTCGCTGTCCCAGCATGGCGGTTTCCATTTGGAGGAGAGGGAGTAGGTTTCTTGCTTGCCTGAAATAAGCTTGGGAATAAATGGGCATGAAGAATATGGCCTCCCGGAAGTGTGGAGGGTGCTTTTCTTGGTTGAGGTTTCTAATATCTTCTGTAGCGATTTGCATTTCCCCATAGTTAGAAATAGAATAAAACTAGGAAAAATGGGCTCTGATGTGCAAAACGTGGTGGACTCTCATAATTCCTAATAGACATTGCTCTCCTGTGCTAAAGGGCCTGAGCGCTGCTGACACGCCAAAGGCCTGCTGCCTGGAGGGGAGATAATGCAGGAGCTGGCGGTTCTTGAAGTCGAGGTAGCGTCTGGATCAGGAGGCAGTGAGGACTCCTTACGGCGGTCCTGTCTGGTATAGGACTCTCTCCTGGCTGTAGGTGGGAGTGGTCGGAGCGGAATGGTGCCGGGCACTGAGGCCTGGCAGGCAGAGCCAGGGAGCGGGTGACCGGAAGCATGGGAGGCTGGCACTGCCGCCACCGTTTTGCCCGTCTCCGGAGCCGGGGGCAGGAAATGTGCTCAGAAGGCAAAAGCTGATAGGAGGCGGAGCTCTCCAACATCTGGTGGGCCTGGATGGGGAAGGGAACGAAGCTCCTGGGAAGCCCAGTCCTGGGCACCCCTTCCTGGGCAGGGCAGACGAGCCCCGCAGGGCAAGGCCTTGGCTCTGCTGCGTTTCTCCCCTGCTCCTCGGTGGGCATTTTGTTGGCAACAGACCCTGTGTGTGATGGCACTTGGCTTGCTTGGTTGCGCATGGGGTCCTGAGGCAGAACGGAGCTGGGGGAGGCACGGGGTCGGCGGCAGAACCCTTGTCCTGCTTCTCTCTCGGCCCGTTAAGCTCGCTCGCCTCGTGAGCCGGGCCACCACTGCAGAAGGAGAAGGCAGGTGGGCCTCTGGGACCTCAGTGCTTGGCTGGCTCACAAGGGCAGAGTTGGCCTTTGGTTCATGCCCAAAGGACATCACCCCTTCAGCACCATCCGCCCGGCCCAGCAGCCCCACAGAATGAATTGATTTGATAAATGGACATTTATTACAGTCACAAATTGGCTGAAACCAATTTTGGTCACGTCAACCCCTGATAACTGCTGGGGTATTGATTTGTGTAAAGTAATACAGTGAATTTATCAGTTCAATAGCAAGCTGAAAGGCCTCCTGGAGACCCAGCACTGTGGCTGTGCTGTTGCAGAGGGCAAACTAGAGCGCAGGCCGGGAAGCAGGCTGCAGCAGGGCCCAGCTGGGCATCGCTCTGCTCCCAGGCGTCCCTCGGCATCTCTGTGGGGCTCGGCCAGCGCAGCTGTGCCCGACGCCCCACGGTCTCCCTGCTGGAGCGAGCGGCACGTCGCCGAGGAAGAGGGCGGTCTGCCCAAAACTGGGCCGGGATGAAGAGGCAGTGATGCGGCGGTGCAAATGGGCGTCAAGCCGCGTGCTCCGTGGCTGACCAGCCCTTTCGCCTCTCCCTCCCTGCGCTGAGGGTGGCTGCTGCCCGTGGGGCTATTGGCATGGCGTGACAGCCCACCGTGGGTTATTTCACCCCTGGGGAAGTGCCAGGGCGTGTGTGGCTGCCGGATTGCATAACTAGCCCATTCTTGCGGGTTCTTATCCTGTGGAACATGGTGATTGTGTGTAATACGTCAGCTGAGCAGCCCTTGCATAACTCGCGTTGTGTTCGAGCGTTGTGCAAGGGTTGCTTAGCCCTTGAAACCCGCACTCACAGTGTCCACACAGCACAGTAGCTCCCAGGTGGGGGTTGGCTGCAGCGTCTGGAGCCTGTGGGCACCAGGGCTCACTGGGGGCCAGGCGGACTGCCGTGAGCCATGGTAGCCTGCCGGGGAGGCCTTTTCAGCCTTCTCTCCCGCACAGCGCTCCCTCTGTCGGGAGGCCGGGCCGGGCAGGCCCTCTTCCTTGCTCAAGGAGCCTCTGTCCCTGCTGAGGCGGCTCACAGGGGTTCAGCCCGTCCTGCAAGGAGGGGAACGGCACCGGCGGGCAGCGTGGCAGCGCTGTTGGGGGCCGTGCATGTCCAGCGGCCGCTGCTCGTGTGCCAGCCTCTGCCCTTTGCTCGAACACGGGGTCTCCTAATCCCTCTCCGCCTCCCTCTGTGAGAGATCGTGCTTTATCCCAGGAGAAAGTCACTGCAGGGCCTTGGGCTGGGGGCCTTCTGGGCCGCTCCGTGAACAGCTTTGCGAGTCCAGGTTCTCTGCATGGTCTTCTCTCTTGCTCGCTGCAACAGAGGGAAATGACACAAGGGGAAAGGGGTCCGAAATTGCAACCGGGGCCACCTCACTTCCTGCCAGCAACAGCCAGAGCAGCCCCCTTTGCCATCCAGCAGTTGGTTTGCCCCTCTTAATGGCCTGCTCCAGCTGAGAGGGGAATTCAGAGCAGAGGTCTCCTCTTCGTGCCCTGAAGGGAGAGTTGATTGCTCTCTTCGTCTTAGCCACGCAGATGCGAATCGCACAGCGCTTGGGGTATTCTTCTTCCTGTAAGGCCGCCCACGGTGGGTGACCTTTTAGGCCTTGTGGGGTCTCGGGTTCCTGCGTGCTTATCTCCTTGGGACCTTGAGCCTCACAGTCAGAGAAATGCTGTGTTTGGTGCGCCAGAAACAAGAGAGTGTGCTTTCTGTGCAAAAGAGGGAAACCAGGAAACCGAATCCTGCATCGAGTGCTTTCCTCCCTGTTGGAGCAGAACGGTAACGGAGCCTCTTGCGTGGGGAAGTTGCAGGCTCTCCCTCGCTGGAGTCATTTAGGAAGCGCCTGGATGCTCATCTAAATGGGATGGTGTAACTTGGGGTCCTGCAGTTGCGTAGGACTGGCATGTCATGAGCGGAGCTGGGGGTCAGGCTGGATGGCCCAGGAGGCCCCTTCTGATTCACTCCATGTATGTTTCTGAGTAGACCCGACTTTGGCACATTCTGTGGCCTGAGTGAAT